TTCGAAACAATAATTATTTTATGATACATAATAGATAAAATTAATTAATATAAAATGAATATTAATATTATGTATGTTGTATGTGTTTAACAAATAAATAGTTTTAATTCTCTTAAATCATATGATTAATACATAATTGTATATTATTTAAATTCTACATGAATATGTTTATTTGTTTCAATTAATGGGTAAATCCACATAAATTTTATTTTACTTTTTTTTTTTTCAGAAAGGAGAACATATCATCATTCTACAGTTATGTGATTCACAAAATAAAATGTCCGTAATATCCAGGTGACTTCACAAAGGATGTCATTATCTGATATCACAAAAGGTAAATACTTTATTATTTATTTTACAAGGAGGTTTTTAATAATATATAATTGTTTCGTGACGAAACAATCTTTTTTTTTTTTTTCTAAATGTTTCTACGTATTATAATTCTTTAGATACTATTACGAAATCTTATATTATATTATTCTCCTAAATTCTCCAAAATTATACAGCCCCGTGCATCACACGGGTACTGTACTAGTTTAAATATAACAAATATATATTTCGTATTAACTAAATATGTAAATATGCACCATGAATATATTATTATTATATATCTTAAAAAAAAACATTCAAAGCTATTTTTTATACTCATCAACATTATTTCATTGGTGTAATATATGCAGTTTATAGTTAATATCTCGTACATCGCACGAGTTACAAACTATTATGATAATATAATATTAGTCGCACAACTATGAGTTTTAATTTAACAATAAATCATAATGCAATGTTTAATAAATGTATATAAAATTAAAACATTATTCTTTTAAATTTATATATTAATTTCGTAAATGCGTCGTGAAAAGAATTCATGAACCTGACAACAAAGTGCAGCTAAGACACACCGATCACAAGTCCGAGTCATTGAGAGGGAAAGTTGAACAATATTGATAAAAAAATAATTATAATGAATAAATAAATAAATCATGAACCTTATACTAGTTTTGATTCAATGAAATAAAAAAATATATAATAATAGTAATAGTAATAATAATAATAATAATAATAATAATAATAATAATAATAATAATAATAATAATAATAATAATAATAATAAGTGATCCACGTAAAGCAAGTTGCACGTTAATCAAAGTGGCCTCCGCGTTAACGTGACTCATCAACTTTCCCAAATCTTTCTTTTTGAATAAAAAAAAAATCAATAAATTAAAAACTCCAAACTCCCCCATCGGCCTCCTCCTCCGCCGCCGCCGCCGCCGCCGCGATTTCTCAATCTGCTGTAGGGAAATAATCGTTTGCCACATCCCTTCATTCGCGAGCGTGGAAAATGAGATCCATGCCCGCGGTTTTGACTGCCGCTGATCCGGCGGCAAGTCTCCGTCCTTCGGTGGCGCCTGCAAACCTTCCTCTCGTCTCTGCATTGCTTGCCTGTGCTATCGCTCAGTTTCTCAAACCTTTCACTACCTGGTAGGTCCTCTCTCTCTCTCTCGTGTTACAATTTCGTTTTTGGTTTGTCTGTTCAAATTTTCGGCATTAGTGGGCTAATTAGCTGGATTCGAGCAGCTGTGTGGACGAATAGTTGGCTTGTATATGTGGATCTATTCCTCAGTTTCAATTAATCACGAGTTTCTTAAATCAACCTGAAAGAGTTATTTGGTGAAATATTATGCTTTTTATTCCAAAAAGATAAGCAAATAAGTTGAATTCATGTTTTATTTAGTCTGCTTTCTTGCTATTTTGAAACTATTATGTAGTAATTAAGCATCCCTCTGAATCAGTGAACAGTGTTGACTTCTTGTTAAGCTAATACTATTCATCCTTATATGCCATATGATGATTCTAGCTATGAGTTATTTTTATTTTAGGTGGAACTTAAAATAAAGTAACGAACCTTAAATATATGTATGGGCATGCTTCTATGTAGGATTTGTTTAATTATGACGCCTATGGACTTGTGAGCATTGTATTTGCATTCGGCTGCATGTGTGGGACTTTGGAGTAAGTTTTGAAGGACAGTTGTGGAGCTTTTCTAGCATTTAGTTTGCTAGAGCCCTATAATGGTATTATTGGTTGGGTGAAGTAAAAGTTTCAGATCAGTGTTAGCTATGTGCTAAAAATGAAAGACCCATCTAAACACGATTTTCCTTGGGGAGAGAGAGTGTATTTAAACCATTTACATGATTGCTATCCCCTAATCTATGGTAGTATGGTGTATCACATGGAATATAAATATATGGTCAATATCTTCTTAAGACTCTGGGACGCTGTACATTGTTTTCAGAATTGAGGAGCAAGTATGAATATTCTCCTCATAACATGTTTTCTAGTATATGAGCTTGATGTGTGTTCAGTTAACCACTTGGTATTATGTTATTTTTGTTAATTTTACCAACCACTAGTAGGCAGACATTTTGTTTCATGCTATTTCCTGCTGGATCTTTCAATATCTCATTTTAGACGTACAGGTTGAAGGATAAAAAATGGGATTCTACAAGGATGCTTGGTTCAGGCGGAATGCCGTCATCACATTCTGCAACTGTTATAGCCCTTGCCACAGCTATTGGATTGGAAGAGGGGGGAGGAGCCTCGTCATTCGCTATTGCAGTGGTCTTGGCATGTGTTGTATGTACTTTCTAAACCAGGTTTTCATTTGTCCATTCTTTTAGGGATTGCCTGACTTTACATTTGTTAATCTCTCATCGGAAATGGTAGCTTTTCTGGTTGTTATTCACCTTACAAAGTTGATTTTCTTGTGGCGGAACTTATTTTGTTAAAACTTTTGCGTGCAACTTCTATATGCGTTTGGTTTCAATTGATGGTTTGCTTCAAGTTTTGCTTGTAGTCTGTTGCTCTTATGACTTGAAAGAGTCAAGAGTAGTGCACCTATATATACTTCAGTCTTCCTTGAACGCTAATGTCGACTCTAATTACTCATCTGGGTGCTGCTTGCACAAGAGTAGTTAATGTTGGATCTATCTTCTTTTAACACTTTTCAGAGCTTTGTTTCTTGCTACTAATTATGAATTGGCACAGGTAATGTATGACGCGACTGGTATCAGGCTTCACGCAGGTCGACAAGCTGAGGTGATATCTTCTTCCGATGATAAATATACTTTTCTATTGGTTTATTTTGAAGATTGTTTTTGTTTCAGTCATCTAGTTGCTCTGGAATGTTTTATGTGACAATCGAGAGATGTGGTGCTTTGTGAGAACACCTCACGAATTTGTATTTTATTATTTTATGTCAGGCAAAATGTGACACTTAATCTAGACATGCTCTCTTTTCGGTTTTGTGACATATATTGTGTGTTTTTGCACAATATTATACCGTTTGATTCTTTCCGCAGTTATTAAATCAAATTGTGTGTGGACTGCCTCCTGAGCATCCTGTTGCTAATGTTAGACCACTTCGAGATTCACTCGGTCACACTCCGCTTCAGGTTTGATCATAATCACATGCTTAGATCTTGTGACTTATCCTTGTCAGTATGTAATTATCTTTCTCTTTGGGGTTACTTCCTACTGGCAAATAATGGTTTACATCTGGGACAACTGTCGATATCATATTTAGCGTTATAAATCCATTTGAAAAGAGTCTAAAACGGAAAGTAAATAACTTTCCTTCCCACAGAAGCATCTAAACTTTCCTAGAAAAAGAAATCTGTAAGCTTGCTTAATGTTGCGCACTTGGATGCATGTATTTGAGTTGCAATTTTAATCGAGACCTGAGAATTTTTATAATCATATGAAGGAGTTCGATTCTTTTTATCTTTCTTTGTTTTTCTGGTGAGGGATGGATTTTTTTTTAAAAAAATTAATTTTTGAGTCTTTATAATAGATTTGAGATGCTTTAACGGAGTCCTCTCAAATCACTATTTTTATAGTAACACAAAAATTTTGGCCATGATCGAACCTTGAATGGAAAACGGTATAAGAAATCGATTTATACTGTTCTATATGGGGGTTCAAATCCACCAACAGTAAGATGGTTCCTCCATTCTGATTCCAGGTTGCTGCTGGTGCTCTACTCGGATGTTTGGTAGCGTTTCTCTTGAGAAGCACCACGTGAAGATTTTGACTTTTGATGGATGTAGTGTTGGCGTATAGCTTGAAAAAAAAAAAAAGATGTGAAAATGATAGATTATTGACGATGGAAGTATGATTTGTGTTCGGCTGCTGGTGATGACGAACCATTTTGTTCTCAGCAGGATATTCATTTGAAGTCCACTTTGTGAAACTTTGTATAATTGCCTGTAAACTAAACTAACATTCTCGCAAGTGTTCCCGAGTACTCTTACCTACCCGACCAAGTCATCAAGCTTCTCTATTTCTATTACTATGTGAGCTAGTTTTGCTTTCATAACAAGTGCAGAATTTCTAAATAGCTGGTTAGATTAGATCATCAAAATTTTTTTGGGGTGGAGTTTTCACATCCTGCCTGCTCACTCAAATTCTACATGTTCTGAAAATACTTTGTTATTTTTTTTCCCGTGGCTTATGTTTGCCGAGACAAATTCCTCATTTGGATGTCCGTCTCTTTTTCTCAGGGCTCGAACATGCGACTTTGAGTATTGGCACTAATACTAATATAAGCTGTGATTGGATATGCGTCATAACCGATTTTAATCTATTTGGACCTATGCTATTTATATGATCAAAATTCAATCCAACACAACTCTCCTGCAATCCAATACAACAAAAGTTCCCAATCATCGAGTTACAAAAGTTTACACTTAGAAAATAAGATTTTTCATTTTGCATCTCTGACCACCACATGTACTTGCCCTGACATTACCCACTCTGCCGGTTAGTTCTGGCCAAAACCGTGGCCTTACAGAGTTTACTTACTTTCCTAAATCATAAATGGAAAGGGAAAAAGAAAAAAAACAAAAAAAACAAAAAAACAAAAAATAGAACTTACACCTATAAAGAACACACATCAACAATGGCAACCATACAGGTATAACAGAAAGCCCACAACTCAGGCTCACAAAAGCCATGAGGGTTATACTTTTCAGGTTCCCTTAACAATGAAAATCAGCACATAACAACTCTTTTGTTAAAGTCACTCTCCTCTCTTCGTCCCTTTATATATGTGTACGAAATAAGGAAAGCAGTTAACCCCATAAGGTCAAGAACGAGCAGTAACAAGCTGGAAAAAAAATAAATATACAAAGAAAGTCCTTTACTTTGGTGCTAACTTTGCTTAATTGACCATCATATGATCAAATCCACCCCCTGCTTGCATGGCGGCAACCCTAGGCCCTTGCACATTGTGAAGCAACTGTTGTAACCACCTTCTCGTAGTTGGATCTTCCTGAAAATTCACCATTGAGATGAACCTTATCGTGTCAGCACAGTATTTATATGTAGGGATTTTTGTTAGTATTGTTAAATATCCGCACTTACACGGAGGCAGCTACTAAATGTTGCATCTCTGAGCATGTCAGGCAGACAGCTTCTCAGAGCATCGCAGGCTCTGTACAAACAAAGGTGATTTGTATATTAAAAAAAAAAATGCACAAACAAAAAGATCGGAAAACTGGATAATTACCAAAATCACCACTGATGTAGGAAATGTCGTTACAAAGAAATACATTTCACGATGATAAATGTTGTGAGTTTCATATTGTATTAACAAAATATTTCATAGTGAGGGTGTAAGTTGTAATAAAGAGGAATATTTTGTGGGAATGTTAATTCTGGAAGATAGATGGAATTTTAAGTTAGGCTAAAGATGGTATAGGCCATAGGGTAATTTTGTAAAATATTCCTTAAGCTCAGTTTGCAGTGGCCGACCTAGGATTATCAGACAATCGAAGGTAGCATCTGATAATGTGCTTCAAAAGACGGGAAGAAGACTGCTCAGCAAGTGCAGCAACCATGTTCCCCAGCACTCTACCTACAGCAAAGAACCGCTCGGCTGTGGTGCATATATACTCTAAGCCCACATCATCGAGCAAAATTTTCTGCACAATGAATGTTGCTACCTGACAAGGAAAACCATAACCATGAAAAGGCCAAAAAATGGAAAAAAGATGAAGAGAAAATAAAATATCTTATAATAAAAGTTAACCACAAATCAACAGTGATGTGATCTCCCGAAGCCAAAATTAATACAGCTCACTGTCTATTCAAAAATCACGACTCTTCAGGTAGAAATTTTAGTTGATACAAAATCATTGACATAATGAATCATTCTATTTATCAAAAGCATATATAAATTTTTCAATATTAAGGTAGAACAAAATTCAGTACAACACAAGGAGAAATAACTAATAAGTGATGCTGGCAGCCATCAGGCATGCCCCAATGGGACTGAAGTGTTGTATTTATAATTCAAGCCAGAATTTGTACCAAAAATTATGGACTCAAGTATGTTGGCCATATTAAGTTCAGTGCCAAACAGAGAATTTCAGAACCACAATAAGCCTGAAGAAAAGTCAAATGCTTTTGTAATCCTTCTAACGAGCCAAAAAAATATGATTTCATGTATATTGAAGCTAAAAGATGCCAATATTAGAACCTCTGTCAGGGATGACAAGTCAGAAAAACAAGCATTAATGGCAAAAAATGGCTCCATAAAAACTCAACTGTCTTGGACAATTCACTTCCCATCTCCATTGTCCGCAGGCATAAGGGAATGATCTCAGTAGAAAGAAGGAAACTGATAACTTCAGTGTCGTCCACCTGAATACCAAGAAAAGCAAAAACAAACATAATATTTATGTTAAAAGAGGACGCAATTTGTTAGAATATCACTTGTGAGTTGTCCACATTGACTAAATAAGGAAAATAAGCTCAGTTTTGACAGGCCTACTTTAGGGCCTATGATGACTCTCTGTTAACCGAGCCTGATTTGGGATGAGCTAACGAAGGACTCACAAGTGAGGGGCGTGTTAGAATCCCTTGTGAGTTGTCCCACATTGACTAAATATGGAAAATAAGCATAATTTTATAAGCCTAGTGAGCTACTCCTATGGGATGAAATCCCACAAAGGAGGCAACAGGGCTCGCCCTCTTGAGGTGTCCTTCCTCCAAATATATACAATCTAACACAGTGAAGAAAAGAAGATATAGAAGCGGGGTCGAACATTAGATAATTCTAGTGCATGAAAATTTAAAGCACCAAAACCTAAGTGTTACTAAATATCAGACAAGGAAATTTAGCATATGGAGGACAATGTCCAAATTAGACAAAACAAGAATGTTACACAAACTAAACTTTAGCCCATGCAAATAGACATGACCACCGGTTCCAAATCGCCTGTTGAAGGGACTCCCTTCAAGTAGAAGGCCAATCTAATTGACGGCTCCGTTACCAGAACGATGGTTCCAGTTCAGGGAACTAGATTTATGTTTGCTAAAAAAAGAAAATAATTGTAAATCGCCAGTCCCAATCAATCTCCGTCAATTTTCAAATTTAAATTCAAGTTAAAATTGTTTGCACTGTCCCATATTAGAATCGTTTTTTTCAGTTCAAAACGTTCGGAACTGCCAGTCCGCCCCGAACCGGAACCTCCGGTTTAGAAAAAATGTTGAATCAGAACTGGACCGCTTATTATCCGGATCCAACTCGTGTTTTGCAGTTCCGGGCCGGAGCCAGCGGTTTGCTAGTCTGTGCAGGTCAGTCTCCCATGTCTGCGTGGAAAGTTCTGTAACAGTTATAACTGTGACGGCCCAATATTTCCTATGGACCATAAGCGGAAATAAATCATTTTTATGCAGAACACCACAAAGATCACAGAGTCCAGGTATGACAATGCTCAAGTCCAGTACATAATGCATACGAAGAGAAGGTGGACTCCTGACACATTTATATGTACATGGAAATTGGGATATGTATGCCTACGTTCAGGAACGTGTTGGTGAGCAGACCAAGAACTGGAATGTCTCCTGGTAAAGCTCAATAACCATCATGTTATAGTTTTTGCAGGATACGGAACACATTTTCGGTCTTCAATCTGTAGTGACAAAGAACTGTCTAGTTGTAACTTTTTTGGCTAATGCATAAAGCTTCAGATAAAAGAGCATTCATTAGATAATATAAGGCTTGTCATTGGTATGAAACAGGAATAAAATAGGGCAACAAGGAATACCTTGACTAAAGCACCTATAACGCCTAAACTTGTAAGCCTCAAATACTCGAAAGGCCTTGATTTGCTCGTTGTATTAAGAAAAGGATATAGGTAGAGAGGAATGTGGGCTGCAAAAAGAAAACAAATGAATAAGTCATGCTTAGGTATACAGCAGCAATCAGAGTCACTGATATTGACGAGACATTTGATAAAACACGAACTTATTTAACATTTTGGATGAGCTGACATCTGAGATTTTATCTGTTATAGTATAATGACTTTTTAAACACATATCCCTGGCAACACAAGTCTGGAAAATAATAACTGACTGGCAGGCTGTGGCCAATAAGAACATTTCCAATGCGTGAGTCTATTTGATTGGGTGTCTAGTGCCACATAAGAATCTACACCTTTTGTGTGAAAAATAATCTCCAGTGTAAAGAAAATAGACTTATAATATGGTGTGAGAAAAATAGGCCAGATCACTACTTGGGCTAATTTGAGTCTTTGCAGTAGACCAGACGAGAGTCAGCATAAGATTGACATTTTAATGAAGCTTCTAACATATTTGGTTATACCACATTCTAGACCCAACTTTCTAAAATATCGTATTGGAGTGAGCTTGGTATATGTATGCTTGAGTATATTCACATCATTCAAGACCTGGGTCTACTACTGCGACAACTAGGAAGAAAAGAACTTTGGGGATGCTCTATGTTTTACTAATTAATCATTCAAACTGCGAAAGAGAGGGAAAATGGGAAATAAAAGAGTTTTGAACAGGTATGGGATAAGTTTCTCTAGTTAAATTTTATTCTGCAAATAGATGCAGGAATGAAATACATGTCCATGCAATGAAGAAATTACCATTGAGGAACAACATTCTTGTGTCTGGATGTGAGGCCACACACTGCAATAAATTGAGTACGATGTTAGTAGTATAATCGGAGTCTTGTGCATCAGATTTCTTTATTTTTAAATGTACTAAAAAAAAGCCCGAAAGAAACAAATATGGTAAATGACAGACTATCAAATCTTGTGGACAGGACGGTTTTTCCATAAATTCAGATTTGGCTCAACTTTCACATTCACCCAATGAATAAATATTATTTTGTAAGGTGTAATAAACAACGCCAACACGAGACTACATGAAGTGATGAATTTTTTTATTCCCCCAAAATGATAAGAAAGGTGGGAAAACACACAAATCTTAAAAAGGACATAACATTTCAACTATGGGCAGTCTAAACACAATTGGCTAAATTAACAATCTAACTACAGAAATAATGAAGATTGCAATTTTCACAACAGGCTAAATTAACAATGTAGCTAAATAATAAAGATTGCATTCTTCTCTCATAAGTAGCACGTAAATACTGATTGCAGACATAAATCCAAGAAAATATCACAAATTTCAGGAGCTTGGCTTTCCTTCCAAGAAGCCATCCAGACACCAAATTGATGCTAAGCCACATTAATACTTTCTATATCTTTTACATTCTGCGGCTGCTACTATCCCACACTTCTGAGCTTGCATTTTCTAAATTCCAGATATACTCAAGTCCCAATTGTTCATAAATGATAATAAACAAGGACAAATATTCTCTACAGTTTATCATAGGAAGGACAAACAGAGAGAAGTCAACAATCACAAAAGCATATAGAAATCATTATGGTGTGATAAGATATGCATTTGTTGGAAAACTTTTATTTCACTAGAGAAGAAGTTTTGGGGGGTATGAATAATATGCAAAAGTGTGATTCCTGATAAGATGGAAATGTAATGATAAAGCTGTTGTGCTGTAAAATAATATATGGCAGCTAGAAATATGTATGTTGATGAACAGTAAATTGTATATAAAATTGTGTAGTTATGATTGATTTTTATGTGAAAAACTGTATTACTAACCAATGAGGTGGGAAAAGTGAGATAAGTGAAAGTAATTGCTAAGAAAATTTTCTCTAGTGAGATGAAAATTCTTTTTATTGTGTATCCAATTGCAGCCAACGAACTCCAAAGGAAGATTCAGAAGCAGAAAAGAAGAACACCTGAAGCAGAGCGAGAGCATTGCAAACTCTGTTTGATTGTGCAGGAGTTAGGTTTGGTGGGGATAACACAGGGTAAATTGAAACTATTTCCTGCAATAGTTCAGAAAGAAACAAAATTTATATCACTTAGAACATAAATGTCACGTCCGAATGCCTAAGGCAAACGCACAGCTAAAATGTCTTAACAAAATATTTTAGTAAAGCAGTTCAAACAAAAGAATTAAACCTAGAAGTTTCTTTTTTTCCTGAATTGGTAAGACAGCAATAATTACCCTGGAAATGCGACTAAGTAGAAACGACGTAATTTCATAAGCAAACCTGAAGAAGAGCAGCAATTGTACCAAAAGAATTCCACAGCAGTGGAGCCAAGTCTTGAAACAGCTCTCTCTTCTATTAGATACAGACAAGACAGTGCATAAGACATGCATGAAAAAATAATTCACAGAGACCAAAATCAATCAAAAGTTAACCTCTGAAGACAAATAAAATCAAAGATGAGACATGAAAGCCAAAAGCAAACATATTTACTTCACTTCAACCATAGATAATCGACAAGGGAAACCAGTATATATATATAGAAGCTTTTATCTTGACATATATAGAAGCTTTTATCTTGACTGGTTGTCATTAACACACAGATATTTTTTGCAAAAACCATTTTACAATCATTTAGAACGGAAGTAAACTAAGTTCTTACTTGTATAGTTAAGTGCTAGGTGAAATTTGATGAGGCGTTAGTCGGCAAAATGTAACTGGTAATTACCACTAAAAATTCTCGAGAGCATCAACTATTTCAATCAGATTAAGAAAAAACCTAAAAAATAAAAAATAACATGACAGTAGGAAAGAACCAGAAAACCTTGGATAGCTCCAGGAGGGCGTTTTCCCGGAGATCGGGGCTGCAGAGATCGAGAACCAGCTGCTCGGCCGATTGCATTCTCCGATCCTTATTGACAGCGGCAGCGGCCGCCGCCGCCGCGGAGGAGCTGCTGCTACCCTCAAAAGGGGCAGCCTTCAAATTCAGCGACGGAGGCAGGTTTGCCATATTTCCCCTCTCGCTTTATCTAATCTCGATGGTTTTGCTTTTCCACTTTAGTGAGGGAAGAAAAACGAAGGGTGGGCAGGTGGGCGTTGCGGTTTAACACCTGTTCATTCATGTGTTGTGGCCGGCCGGTGTTATGTCTTGCGGGTTCTGAACCGGAACTGTAGTCGAGGAGTTCTGAAAAAAGGAAAGATTAATAGTGTTACTACTTTCTCTTCTTAGTGACTCGAACTCATGATATATCGAATGAGCTCACAAAACTTGAATTGAAACTTGTTCGCCATCAAATCACAATTTGAAACCGGCTTTTTTATAAGTTGTTTAGAAAAATAAACTGAAAATTATGATATTTTTCGATTCAAAGACCTGGTTAGGCGTGATTCTCATTTTTACGGAAAGCCTTCCCCGCCACCATTTGTGGAAAACCAAAAGAAACATTTGAATAAAACAAAATTTAATGTTCATTCAAACTCAAAACTGATCATCGGTTAAAAAAAAAGTACGAACTTGTCATGTTTTCCGTTAACCCTCATGCATGTATATCTTGATAAAGAAATAGCATGTTTCTTTTGTAATTGATGCATGGCATTTATTTAAGTTGCTTTCCAAAACGATGTCGTTTGATTGAATTTTGATCGAACTGGGTGCGTTTCACGTTTGGTTGACTAATTAAAATTTGATGCCTCATCCAAGTTTCTTCTCAACCATAGGCATTATCTTAATTGGATGTCAGGAATTAGTGTTTGAGGCTGCATTCTTGTTCAAAATCGCTCCCGTTCAAATAAACTTGTTATGGTGCAATGGCTCGATGACTATCAACCGCCGTACAATCGTTGCATGTGTTCTATATTGGAGGGGTTTAAGTCGTCGCATCATTGGCTTTTGGTTTGTAAGTTTTTCTCTCTTTGTCACAGTGTTTTATGTGTTTCTCATTATGTCACGTGTTTGACAAGTATATATATTATTAGAAAAATATAATTGTCAATGTAAGATTTGTCTAACGGTAGACTCATTGAGAAAGATCGTACCTCCTAATCCACGCCGTAAAAGTAATTTTTCTAACATTTCATCAATTAAAAGTCTCTTTACCATATCATGAAGATGAACTCGTTCATAAGGTTAATATTTCTTTTCTATCTCGTCTTTGCAAAAATATTTCACACTACTTGAAATATTGAATTTGGAATATTTACTATATATCACAAAGCTTGATCACTACGACGGTAAGTTTAGAATACAACCAAATGCATGATTTTTTTAGTAGTTGTACGGGTGTTAACGTGAATATCATTATAAATATGTAAAAAATTTAAGCGGTACATGAACCTAAGTCAATCAATCCGTACAAAACATTCGTGAGTAAACTAAAATTTTAGTCATGTATATTTCACTACCCTAACTTTTCGTCCTCTTCAAATTGAGTTTTTGATTTTTGTCTCGTATGTTTGCAAAAAGGTCATTTTCATACATAAGGGATGAAATTGGAACTTTTTTTTGCAAAACATAAAAGACCTTTTGTTGCGAAAATGATCTGTTTGGAACCTTTTTGTAAATACGGGATGAAAATGAAAAACACAATTTGAAAAGGACGAAAAAGTTAGGGTAGTGAAACATAAAGGATTAAAATTACAATTTACTCAAACATTCGTCACGATGTGACCATTACAATTTAGAAAAATAAATTGAAAATTATGATATTTTTCAATTCAAACCATTTGTGCAAAATCGAAAGAAACATTTGAACAAAACAAAATTTAATGTTCGTTCAAACCAAAATTGACCACCGGTTAAAAAAAAATACGAACTCGTCATGTTTTCCGTTAACCTTCATGCATGTATATCTTGATAAGAATATAGCACAGTTCTTTTGTAATTGATGCATGACATTTATTTAAGTTGCTTTCCAAAACAATGTCGTTGGATTGAATTTTGATCGAAGTGGGTGCGTTTCACGTGTGGTTGACTAATTAAATTTGGAAGATTGCCTCATCCAAGTTCCTTCTCAGTCATAGGCATTATCTTAATTGGATGTCATGAATTTGTGTTTGAGACTGCATTTTCGTTCAAAATCGCTCCCGTTCAAATAAACGTGTCATGGTGCAATAGCCCCATGACTGATCAACCGTTGGAGAGTCGTCATGTGTTCTATATTGGAGGGGTTTGAGTCATCGCATTATTGCCTTTTGGTTTGTAAGTTTTTGTCTCTTTGACAATTGTCACAGTGTTTTATGTTTTTCTCATTATGTCACGTGTCATTATGTAACGTGTTTGATAAGTATATATATTTATTAGAAAAATATAGTTGTCTAATGTAAGATTTGCTAGCGGTAGCCTCACTGAGAAAAATCGTATCTCCTAATCCACACCATAAAAGTAATTTTCTAACATTTCATCAACTAAAAGCTTCTTTACTATATGATGCAGATGAATTCGTTCATAAGGTTAAAATTTATTTTCATCTCAGCCTTTCCAAAAATATTTCACACTACTTGAAATATTGAATTTGGAATATTAAATATGTATCACAAACTCAAGTTTTAGCTTGATCATTACGACGGTATAGTTTAAAATACAACCAAATGCATGATATTTTTTGGTAGTTTACGGGAGTTAACGTGAAGATCAATATAAACATGTAATAAATTAAGCGGTACATGAACCTAAGTCAATCAATCGATACGAAGCAACCGTCAAGGTGTGACCATTATAATTTTAACAAGTTCATACATAGTTCACACGCGTTTGTTTAGTTCTTAATCTTCATGGGAAAAAAATTGCAACATGTAATATACAGGTTTTTTGGGTTTGCAATCTGTAGTTTTTTGTTTTATTTTTTATAATAAATTAGAGTGCAAATAAATGAGTGCGGACCCCCTCTGTGGACCAATCATTCCTCTTTATTTCAATCAAAAGCATCAGTTGCGTGAAGTCTTTTTTTTTTTTTTTTTGGTGCGAAGAAGGAGACTAAAAGGATGGCGGCATTGATGAAGATGTTAGGCATAGAATTGCAGCCGGTTGGTTGAAATGGCGTCAAGCTTCAGGCGTTGTCTGTGATAAGAGGGTGCCACAAAAGCTAAAAGATAAGTTCTATAGGACGACGATTCGTCTGGCGATGCTATACGGTGCTGAATGTTGGCCTACAAAAAAGCAACATGTCCAACAACTAAGTGTAGCAGAGATGCGGATGTTGCGTTGGTTTTGCGGGCACACAAGAAGAGATAGAATCCAAAATGAGGATATTCGTGATAGGGTCGGGGTGGCCCCAATTGAGGAGAAGTTGGTTCAACATCGACTGAGGTGGTTCGGACATGTCCAACGGAGGCCTCCTGATGCACCGGTACGCATGGGAGTTCTACAGCGGGCCGATGTTGTTAAGAGAGGTAGAGGTCAGCCTAAACTCACTTGGGAAGAATCGGTTCAGAGAGACCTTAAAGATTGGAATATCTCCAAGGATTTAGCGGTGGATAGGAGCGCTTGGAGACTAGCGATCAACGTGCCGGAACCGTGACTTTTGCTCCAATCTCCTTTTTTTTTACTGTTTCTATTGAGTTTCATCTCTATCCTACCCCAACTTGTTTGGGACTAAAAGGCTTTGTTGTGAAGAAGGAGGCTCCAGGGAGCCTAGATGGGAACCTAACACCGATGCGCGATTTCTAATTGATCATGGTGTAACCAAGTACCCACTCCAGTCGGGGGATGTGCCAACCGTTGCAAACTTAAGGGCCCGTTGGCCGCCTCAACCGCTAAAAAATTCGCCACAAAATTGGCCTTGCGATAGACGTGTCTCAGTTCGACTTCCCAAGCACGGCCCAACAAATCAATAATGCCCCTTTTAAGACCACCATGCCGACCACTACATGTGGCCTGCCGAACCAAGGCTAAAATACCGATATTATCCACCTCCGCGATTATCTTCCGGAACCCTAAATCTCATGCCAATGCAAGCCCGTGGTACAAGCCCCACAACTCCGCCCCAAAAATAGGGCAAAGACCGATGTTCAAAATGAAACCAGAAATCCACGAACCCCGGTGATCACGGAGGACACCTCATGCACTGGCCAAACCCGTCGCCGGATTATAGCCCCCGTCTGTGTTAACCTTAATAATATGTTCGGCTGGGATTCCCACGAAATCAGACGCACAGTCCGCCCCTTAGCAGCTCCGGCTCCCAACCGCCGGCTCCCCCGCTGTACCTGGTTGTGCTGGGCGACCAAGGACAAAACTTCAGCCACACGCCGACCATGATGGACAGTCACATTCTGAAACACATGGAGGTTGTGCCACCTCCACAATCGCCAAGCAACCACGCCAAACACCACAATTCAGTCATCTCTCGCCCGACTCAGCCCACCATGAAGGTTCGCTAGAAACCAGTCCGACAGCCCCAAGGAGAAGAATTCCGGCCAAAACGCCCGAGGGAGCAGCTCCTGCCACGTTGCTGCCGCCGGAGGACAGTCCCTAATCGCATGGATGACAGATTCTGGCTCCACCAAACACACGGGACACGTTGCATCAGACGCTAACCGCCAGCGACATCGAGAAACGTTTGTCAACAGAGCCTCACGCGCGGCCAGCCATAAGAAACACGGACCCTTTGTGGGCCCGGCCATTGCCAAACCAGCCGCCGCACATATCCACGTCGACCGGTAGCCTGCCGTCTCAGACCCTCATACGCCGACCTAACTCAAAAGTGGCCATCCGACGACCAGCCCCAAAACATCCCATCATCATCCCCGTCCGGTCGTGGCGCCGGCACCGCCGAAATATGCAATAAGATAGAAGCCGGCAGAAACGGTGCAAATAAACTCCAGTTCCAGGCCCCATCAGGTCGAACAAAAAAAGCCACATTCACCTCAAGCAGCGACTCCGGTACCTGTCCGACCGCAAAGTGAATTAGCGGGTGATCGAGTGGAATCCAACGGTCCTTCCAGAAACGAACTGTACGATCATTACCCACTGTCCAACGACATCACTGTAAAGTATCTGGCCACACATCCCGCAAG